CGCATGGCTCCCCAGCCACGTGCGCCTGGGATGGGGCCAGCCCGGGAAAGGGACTTCCTGGCCGCCCTTCTCCCAGGGGGCGGGACACCCGGGCGCAGGGCCAATGAGGAGCCCTGCGAGGGGGCAAGTCCCATGAGAGAGAGAGAGAGACAGAAGTGCAAGTGCCTCTGTCTCTGTCTGTCTGTCTGTCTGTCTGTCTGTCTGTCTGTCTGTGTCTCTCTCTCTCTCTCTCTCTCATGGGACTTGCCGGAGGGCCGTGGGAGGGCCGCATTTACATACCGCAGGGAGGGCTGTTCGAGGGCCGGATTAAACCGGGCCGCGGGCCGCAAATGGCCCGCGGGCCGGACTTTGGACATGCCTGGCTTAACTGATCAAGTCAACCAACTTAATAAAACTACAATTGATTAAACCAAGTCAAGAACAAGGTTACACTAACTACACAGCACTACATTGTGCTATGGGGACACTTAAACTCAGTCATCTTAGACCTGAACAGAGAAATGGCTGAAAAAGTCCCATACACATCTAAAAAACAATGCTGAACCAATGTTCAAAACTCCCTAATACCTACAATCTGCAAGCCATTCCCCTCCAAATATGATTCTTACAGATATACTTCCAACAAAGCAAAAATGGAGTGGAAAATGAAAGAGATACAAAGAGATTCAAAGACTTGCATGTGCTCCTAAATGTCAACAAACAGCCATCAAACAGCTGTTGTGCCCCCAAAATTTAAGTAAGGAAATTATGTAATAAACCAAGGCTAAGCTGCAAGCTACCAACCTAGTCTGGGAAGATTCCTCCATCCCATGATGATCACAGAAACTTCCCATATGGACATAAATTAGGTAAGACCAGGATACCATGAACTACATGGGATAACAATGAAATAAATCTCCACAAGCATCCCATCTCCTGCCAGATAAGGGTTTAACAAAAGCCAGACAGCCCATCTAATCAGAAGGAAGCTAGCCAAGTGTAGCAGAGCCGAAAGCATTCCTCACCTGCCCAGACACCCCCTTCTAGCACCCACTGCAAAAAGCCTTGTTAAAGTGGAGCTGGACGGGAAAAGTGGGTGACATCTCCCAGGATGACTAGAAGCTTTGGACAACTAAAGCAGGAAAAAGGTGGAAAGGCTTGAGCCACCAGCTTAGGAGGCCCGCTCAGCTAGAACTGCAGGGAAGCCTTCTCTTCATCCTTTGTCCTAAGAAAGTTCTTTAGAAGAAGGCTGAATTTCCAAAGCAGGTAGAAGCAGAACAAAGTGGTTGCTTGATTGTTAGAAATGAGGGACATAGATACAACTCAGGAGGCACCTTTGGAGAAATTATGGTCAAAATGGCATCAGATCAAACATTCTTTGCCCGGCCCCTTTAAATATGTACAAGGCTAAGTTGCTTTAAGTACATAGTTGTTTTGGATACTGATGTCCCTGTTTGTATTGTAAAAGTTTCAGTATGTTTGGAAAATTTTTTTAGCAATGTACCTACTTAGTAAAAGATTATGTAGAAATTGAAGAAGCAGAGCCTAAACAGTGCTTAGGTTCCACTTTCTGCTCTCTTCCTCCTGTTGAAGACACAGAGCATTCATGACACTAAAAGTGTTGGGGGTTCAAGAAAAGAAAGAAACTAATATTTAACTAGTGCTATAGAAGACAGGGGAAATGCTTAGGAAGTTAGATGTTCTTTCAGAGATGGGATTTCTTACTTTAAGAGACTTCTTGTATAAGCAGCCGTAAGTGGTTAATGACAGAGTATAAATACTATAAAACTCACACCCAGAGGTGTGTGCAGAACTGTTGGCATGGAGCCAAAGCCACTTTTAGAAGAGTGGAACAGTTAAGAGAGGACAGAAAGGATAACTTGTAGGCGTACACTGTTTCAGCTCTTGGTACAGGACCTACTCTTCTCCAGCAGATTTTGGGGTGGTGGTGGTGAGAAGCCTCCTGGCTAGTTATTGTGAGTGATAAAGGATCTCATTCTCACAAAGAGAGTTTGCTTTAGAAGATAGGCAATTGCTGCTGAAGAGGATGAGAAGGGCTAATGATGTATAGTAGTGGCGGTAGTTCATTTTTCAGATGGCCACAAGAGCCATAAGGAGTACTGTATAAATATTAGGTGTCGTGTTTGTGAGACGGGATTTAGAACTGGGCTGAGAAGCTTATGCTAAATATTTTCATTCTCTCTTTGTGAAGAGATATTAGGAAATATTGGTAGTTTTCTTCTATTCCCCTCTTTTTTAATTTGTCAATCTGTATGCTGCCTCAAATCACAAAGTGATTCTGGTGGCTTACACGTTAGGATTAAAACTTCAGTAAATAACAATAACCACAAATTTAATACCTGACACCAGCAAGTTGGGATAGACAGCTACTGACAGTCAGCTGCAAGCAAGAAGGGGGTACTGTAGATAAGTGCTGTCCTTTGGCAGGGCCCATTTTAA